GCTCCTGACATGTCAGACACACGGAGCGCTCCTGTCAGCCGCGCCTCCACCCCTGCACTTCTGTGGGGTTTCCTCCCTGCTGTGGGGATGGAAGCCCAGGCCTTGCACACGTGCCAGCTCCCAGCACTTCTGGGACAGGGTTCATACTATTATTAATTTAATGTAGACCATACTGACCTGGAACTTGCTGTGTATAGTACAGTTGGCTCCAACTCAAGATACTTCTGCCTCCTAGGACTTCGGGCTTAAACCACCATACATGGCTTTTTAAAATTTATGTGTGTGTGCGTGTCTGTGCGTGCACGTGCATGCGCGTGCACTGTATACTTGAGCCACAGCTTCACTTCTGCCTTTTTTTTTTTTGGCCAGTCCTGGGGCTTGAGCTTAGGACCTGGGCACTGTCCCTGAGCTGCTTTTTTTTTTTTTAATTTTTTTTTTAGTCCGGTCATGGGGTCTGAACTCTGGGCCTGGGCGCTGTCCCTCAGCTCTTCAGCTCAAGGCTAGCACTCTACCATGAGCCACAGTGCCACTTCCCGCTTTTTTTTCTTATGTGGTGCTGAGGAATCGAACCCAGGGCCTCGAGCATGCAAGGCAAGTGCTCTACCACTGAGCCACCTTCCCAGCCCTCCCTGAGCTTCTTATACTCAAGGCTAGTACTCTACCACTTGAGCCACAGTGCTACTTCCAGCTTTTTCTGAGTAGTTTATTGGAGATAAGAGTGTCATGGAGTTTTCTGCCTGGGCTGGCTTTGAACTGCGGTCCTCAGATCTTGGCCTCCTGAGTAGCTAGGATTATAGGCACAAGCCATTGGTGCTCAGCCACTTCTGGCTTTTGGGGATTAATTGGAGATAAAGAGTCTCCTGGACTTTGCTGCCAGCACTGGCTTTGAACCGTGATCCTTGATCTCAGTCACCGGAGCAGCTGGACTTGTAGGTGTGCCCTTGGGTTCCTGGCTGGACTGCCTTTGAGTTCTGGCCTGCTGCTGCATGGGGTGATGGTTGGGCTGCAGCCAGGGCACCTGTGGAGACTGAGGGCTCTCTTCACAGGCTGGATGATTGCGGCCTCTCTGAGGTGCGGTGCAAGGACCTCAGCTCTGCGCTTCAGGCCAACCCTGCCCTGACGGAGCTGAACCTGCGCAACAATGAGCTGGGCAACGCGGGCGTGCAGCTGGTGCTGCAGGGCCTGCAGAGCCCCACCTGCAGGATTCAGAAGCTGAGGTGAGGCCCGGTGTCAGCACGGCGCTCCGGCAGAGCCTCTGCGGGCAGGGGTAGGGTGTGGAGAGCCCTGGGCCCAGCTCCAGCTGCAGGTGACGGGTGGCTGCCACTGCAGGGACAGGGCGCCTTCTGGCTCCCGCCACCCTGCTGCCCTCCTGCAGCTGCTCTTAGCTGGAGATGGGGAGCTAGCCTGGGGAGAAGCGGGGCCCGCCCTAGGCTGCTGGGGAGCTGCTGAGAGAGTGTGCTCCAGCCTGCAGAACTGCGGCCTGACGGCGGCCGGCTGTGCAGTCCTGCCCGGCGTGCTGTGCGCCCTGTCCACCCTGCGTGAACTCTGTCTCAGCGACAACCCCTTTGGAGACACGGGCCTGCAGCTGCTCTGCGAGGGGCTCCTGGATGCTCGGTGCCACCTGGAGAGACTGCAGTGAGTGTGGTCCCAGCCCCCTGGGGCCCACCCTTCCCCAGCCAGGGACACCCAGGCCTTCATCAGGATGCAGCTGCCGGGGCCGTGGGGACCTCCGGGCCACGGTGCTTCCCCCCGGGGTGCTGGGGGCTCCTCCTTGCCAGGGGCTGACGGCTGACCCGACCTGACCATGGCACAGATGTGGCCAGCGGTCCAGTGTGGGAGACACTGGGAGTGACCACAGTGAGGTGCGGGAGGATGGCCCATGACCACAGCGAGGTCCGGGGGGGAGGGTGGCCCCTGACCACAGCGAGGTGCGGGAGGGGAGGGTGGCCCATGACCACAGCGAGGTGC